GACCCCCTTTTGCCTTCAGAACTGCCTCAATTCTTCGTGGCATAGATTCAACAAGGTGCTGGAAGCATTCCTCAGGGAGTTTGGTCCATATTGACATGATGGCATCACACAGTTGCCGCAGATTTGTCGGCTGCACATCCATGATGCGAATCTCCCGTTCCACCACATCCCAAAGATGCTCTATTGGGTTGAGATCTGGTGACTGTGGAGGCCATTTTAGTACAGTGAACTCATTGTCATGTTCAAGAAACCAATTTGAAATGATTAGAGCTTTGTGACATGGTGGAAGTAGCCATCAGAGGATGGGTACATGGTGGCCATAAAGGGATGGACATGGTCAGAAACAATGCTCAGGTAGGCCGTGGCATTTAAACGATGCCCAATTGGCACTAAGGGGCCTAAAGTGTGCCAGGAAAACATCCCCCACACCATTACACCACCACCACCAGCCTGCACAGTGGTAACAAGGCATGATGGTTCCATGTTCTCATTCTGTTTACGCCAAATTCTGACTCTAACATCTGAATGTCTCAACAGAAATCGAGACTCATCAGACCAGGCAACATTTTTCAAGTCTTCAACTGTTCAATTTTGGTGAGCTCTTGCAAATTGTAGCCTCTTTTTCCTATTTGTAGTGGAGATGAGTGGTACCCGGTGGAGTCTTCTGCTGTTGTAGCCCATCCGCCTCAAGGTTGTGCGTGTTGTGGCTTCACAAATGCTTTGCTGCATACCTCGGTTGTAACGAGTGGTTATTTCAGTCACTGTTGCCCTTCTATCAGCTCGAACCAGTCTGGCCATTCTCCTCTGACCTCTGGCATCAACAAGGCATTTCCGCCCACAGAACTGCCGCTCACTGGATGTTTTTTCTTTTTCGGACCATTCTCTGTAAACCCTAGAGATGGTTGTGCGTGAAAATCCCAGTAGATTAGCAGTTTCTGAAATACTCAGACCAGCCCTTCTGGCACCAACAATCATGCCACGTTCAAAGTCACTCAAATCACCTTTCTTCCCCATACTGATGCTCGGTTTGAACTGCAGGAGATTGTCTTGACCATGTCTACATGCCTAAATGCACTGAGTTGCCGCCATGTGATTGGCTGCTTAGAAATTAAGTGTTAACGAGCAGTTGGACAGGTGTACCTAATAAAGTGGCCGGTGAGTGTATATATGGGGATAATTAGGAGGCAACTTTGGCCAGGATGCCGGGGTTACACCCCTACTCTTTCGAAAGACATCCTGGGATTTTTAATGACCACAGAGAGTCAGGACCTCGGTTTAACGTCTCATCCGAAGGACGGATTCATTTATTCATTTTTGTTGCATTTCCTATCCTTGCATGATGCTATTTTACATCAATGCTAGACTGGCTTGCTTGTTGTAAAGCTTAAAGAAGGACTGGCTGTATTGAGAGGTTTTAATAGTGGTTTAATTTCATAGCGGTGACAAACAGTGCCGAAGTTTAGGACAAACACGATCGTTTCCTGGCTTTGCACATTGCAGGTTCAGGAGATGTGGATGCTGCTCACCTATTGGAGGGGCTCATGTGGTCTCGCAGAATTATTAAGAATCAGTCATCGGGAATTGAAAATTGATGCCACTGCCACAGACCAACTGTAAACAAAAACTAAAATTTAAAATAAAAAATAAATAAAAAAAGTCTTGCAAAAAGGGCACTTATCTAGTCAGAGGTCAAAAGGGCAAGTGCTTGAGCACCACTTGAGATCTATCTCTGTGCCTGCCTGCCGTGATTTAACCTCAGTTCTAACAAATCAAATGGATTATCTATTTCGGCGAAGAAAACAAAGCATCAAATAGAAATTTGGAGTGACAACTTCCGCACAGTGTGTTTCAGTAAATCAGAGCACAAGTGAATGATTTAATCAAAATCAAATCTGAATATTGGACTATACTACTCCTGTCCAGCATTACTACTACATCTTTTAAACTGTCAGACTGTACTCGTCCTTGACAGCTGCTGGACTTGATCAGTTTTGACTGTGCAAAGTTCTGCATTATGTTCTACAATATGTACTTCACGAAAGACTGTAGTTCTGTCTGAAGTTGAAGCGCACACAAAGGCAATCGCTGTGTTGTTATTCATTTTTTGTTGTCAGATTATAGTACAGTATGTATCAATAAATGACACATTTTTGGCTGTCATTGTGTGTGCATGAACGTCTGTGACATGCCTGCTAATTACGTTGCTTATTCCGATCACTTATATTAGGCTCTTTTTGCACTTAAATTGTCTTATTCTTACTGTTGACACTGAAAATCCATGAAGCGGCAGCAGTGTTAATGAGATTTGAAAGCATTTAGTGGAACTCTCTTTTACATTTATCTGTCATTTAATTTTTTAATGTTTAAATATATATTATGAAGTTTTGGATCTCTAGATTAATGTATGGTTTGAGCTTCCCTGCCACTGCTTTCATTAGCATCTTTATGCAATCAGGCTCTATTACATTCATTTCCAATGTTTTCATTTTGTATTTGTTGCTGGACTTCAGATTTAAAGAGCAGTAACTGTAATAAAGAGGAATTATTGTAAATAAAAATTATAGTAGCGTGTTACTATGATAAGAAGATTCTATCTCTGACCAGTTGACACTTATGTTGTGCTTTTGTTTCTATTTATTATCTATTAATTTGTGATTTTTACCCTGTCTTTATAACTGTTCAGTTTTGGTTGCGTTTCCCTGTGTTCTATTCCTGTTTTACCTACTTGAGTTCCTAGTTAGTTTCCTTGGTTATTAATTAGCACTACACCTGTTCTGTTCACTGTATATTTATACCCAGCGTTCAGCGTTCCATGTCGTCTTTGGTTGTGTTTACTCCCTATGCTTGCTCTTGTGTTTTATATTGTGGAAATCCTGATTAAAGCCTTTTTTCTTGGAGTTTATCTTTGTCGTGTGATTATCACAGCCATTTGTGACAGAACAAGGAACCTAACTGAAGAGATTTTTGCACTGTTTTTCCCTCTTTTTTTTGTAAAATTGACCTGCCCGCTGTCCAGTTACTCTGCTTGGAGCGGGGGGACCATTCACTTGAGGACCATACCCGGGACTTTATCGATCTGGCCTCCCTGACTTGCTATCTGGACCTCTCGCTCTGTGTCTTGTTCTATACCAGCCTTAGCGAGCGGTTCAAGGGAAGGTTTCATCGTGTTTGTGGAATGGGTGTTGGTAATGGATGTCCGTTTACCGTCTGCCTGGCTAAAGAGGACATTACCATTACCTCCCTCTCTTGCCTCCTCTTCCAAACTCAGCCAGTCCGTCAGCCCCGCCTCTGCTGGTTCACTTCAGCCCCTCGACGACTCCTCTGACTCGGCCTCCAGGACCATCGGTGTCGCCCGGTCCCATCTGCTCTCCGTCTGCGTGCAGGGCCCCACCTCCATCGGCCTCGTCTCCATCGGTGTCGCCCGGTCCCATCTGCTCTCCGTCTGCGCGTAGGGCTCCACCTCCATCGGCCTCGTCTCCATCGGTGTCGCCCGGTCCCATCTGCTCTCCGTCTGCGCGTAGGGCTCCACCTCCATCGGCCTCATCTCCATCGGTGTCGCCCGGTCCCATCTGCTCTCCGTCTGCGCGTAGGGCTCCACCTCCATCGGCCTCGTCTCCATCGGTGTCACCCGGTCCCATCTGCTCTCCGTCTGCACGTAGGGCTCCACCTCCATCGGCCTCGTCTCCATCGGTGTCGCCCGGTCCCATCTGCTCTCCGTCTGCGTGCAGGGCTCCACCTCCATCGGCCTCGTCTCCATCGGTGTCGCCGATCCCATCTGCTCTCCGTCTGCGTGAAGGGCTCCACCTCCATCGGCCTCGTCTCCATCGGTGTCGCCCGATCCCATCTGCTCTCCGTCTGCGTGCAGGGCTCCACCTCCATCGGCCTCGTCTCCATCGGTGTCGCCGATCCCATCTGCTCTCCGTCTGCGTGTAGGGCTCCACCTCCATCGGCCTCGTCTCCATCGGTGTCGCCCGGTCCCATCTGCTCTCCGTCTGCGCGTAGGGCTCCACCTCCATCGGCCTCGTCTCCATCGGTGTCGCCCGGTCCCATCTGCTCTCCGTCTGCGTGTAGGGCTCCACCTCCATCGGCCTCGTCTCCATCGGTGTCGCCCGGTCCCATCTGCTCTCCGTCTGCGCGTAGGGCTCCACCTCCATCGGCCTCGTCTCCATCGGTGTCGCCCGGTCCCATCTGCTCTCCGTCTGTGCGTAGGGCTCCACCTCCATCGGCCTCGTCTCCATCGGTGTCGTCCGGTCCCATCTGCTCTCCGTCTGTGCGTAGGGCTCCACCTCTATCGGCCTCGTCTCCATCGGTGTCGCCCGGTCCCATCTGCTCTCCATCTGCGTGCCGGGCTCCACCTCCATCGGCCTCGTCTCCATCGGTGTCGCCCGATCCCATCTGCTCTCCTTCTGCGTGCAGGGCTCCACCTCCATCGGCCTCGTCTCCATCGGTGTCGCCCTGTCCCATCTGCTCTCCGTCTGCGTGTAGGGCTCCACCTCAATCGGCCTCGTCTCCATCGGTGTCGCCCGGTCCCATCTGCTCTCCGTCTGCGTGTAGGGCTCCACCTCCAACGGCCTCGTCTCCATCGGTGTCGCCCGGTCCCATCTGCCCTCCGTGTGCGTGTAGGGCTCCACCTCCATCGGCCTCGTCTCCATCGGTGTCGCCCGGTCCCATCTGCTCTCCGTGTGCGTGGAGGGCTCCACCTCCATCGGCCTCGTCTCCATCGGTGTCGCCCGATCCCATCTGCTCTCCGTCTGCGTGCAGGGCTCCACCTCCATCGGCCTCGTCTCCATCGGTGTCGCCGATCCCATCTGCTCTCCGTCTGCGTGTAGGGCTCCACCTCCATCGGCCTCGTCTCCATCGGTGTCGCCCGGTCCCATCTGCTCTCCGTCTGCGTGTAGGGCTCCACCTCCATCGGCCTCGTCTCCATCGGTGTCGCCCGGTCCCATCTGCTCTCGGTCTGCGTGTAGGGCTCCACCTCCATCAGCGTCGCCCGGTCCCATCTACTCTCGGTCTGCGTGTAGGGCTCCACCTCCATCAGTGTCGCCCGGTCCCATCTGCTCTCCGTCTGCGTGTAGAGCTCCACCTCCATCGGCCTCCTCTCCATCGGTGTCGCCCGGTCCCATCTGCTCTCCGTCTGCGTGTAGGGCTCCGCCTCCATCGGGCTCGTCTCCATCGGTGTCGCCCGGTCCCATCTGCTCTCCGTCTGCGTGTAGGGCTCCACCTCCATCGGCCTCGTCTCCATCGGTGTCGCCCGGTCCCATCTGCTCTCCGTCTGCGTGTAGGGCTCCACCTCCATCGGCCTCGTCTCCATCGGTGTCGCCCGGTCCCATCTGCCCTCCGTGTGCGTGTAGGGCTCCACCTCCATCGGCCTCGTCTCCATCGGTGTCGCCCGGTCCCATCTGCTCTCCGTGTGCGTGGAGGGCTCCACCTCCATCGGCCTCGTCTCCATCGGTGTCGCCCGGTCCCATCTGCTCTCCGTGTGCATGTAGGGCTCCACCTCCATCGGCCTCGTCTCCATCGGTGTCGCCCGGTCCCATCTGCTCTCCGTGTGCGTGGAGGGCTCCACCTCCATCGGTCTCGTCTCCATCGGTGTCGCCCGGTCCCATCTGCTCTCCGTGTGCATGTAGGGCTCCACCTCCATCGGCCTCGTCTCCATCGGTGTCGCCCGATCCCATCTGCTCTCCGTGTGCGTGGAGGGCTCCACCTCCATCGGCCTCGTCTCCATCGGTTTCGCCCGGTCCCATCTGCTCTCCGTGTGCGTGTAGGGCTCCACCTCCATCGGCCTCGTCTCCATCGGTGTCGCCCGGTCCCATCTGCTCTCCGTGTGCGTGTAGGGCTCCACCTCCATCGGCCTCGTCTCCATCGGTGTCGCCCCGTCCCATCTGCTCTCCGTCTGCGCGTAGGGCTCCACCTCCATCGGCCTCGTCTCCATCGGTGTCGCCCGGTCCCATCTGCTCTCCGTCTGCGCGTAGGGCTCCACATCCATCGGTGTCGCCCGGTCCCATCTGCTCTCCGTCTGCGTGTAGGGCTCCACCTCCATCGGCCTCGTCTCCATCGGTGTCGCCCGGTCCCATCTGCTCTCCGTCTGCGCGTAGGGCTCCACCTCCATCGGCCTCGTCTCCATCGGTGTCGCCCGGTCCCATCTGCTCTCCGTCTGCGCGTAGGGCTCCACCTCCATCGGCCTCGTCTCCATCGGTGTCGCCCGGTCCCATCTGCTCTCCGTCTGCGTGCAGGGCTCCACCTCCATCGGCCTCGTCTCCATCGGTGTCGCCCGATCCCATCTGCTCTCCGTGTGCGCGTAGGGCTCCACCTCCATCGGTGTCGCCCGGTCCCATCTGCTCTCCGTCTGCGTGTAGGGCTCCACCTCCATCGGCCTCGTCTCCATCGGTGTCGCCCCGTCCCATCTGCTCTCCGTCTGCGCGTAGGGCTCCACCTCCATCGGCCTCGTCTCCATCGGTGTCGCCCGGTCCCATCTGCTTTCCGTCTGCGCGTAGGGCTCCACCTCCATCGGTGTCGCCCGGTCCCATCTGCTCTCCGTCTGCGTGTAGGGCTCCACCTCCATCGGCCTCGTCTCCATCGGTGTCGCCCGGTCCCATCTGCACTCCGTCTGCGTGTAGGGCTCCACCTCCATCGGGCTCGTCTCCATCGGTGTCGCCCGGTCCCATCTGCTCTCCGTCTGCGTGTAGGGCTCCACCTCCATCGGCCTCGTCTCCATCAGTGTCGCCCGGTCCCATCTGCTCTCCGTCTGCGTGTAGGGCTCCACCTCCATCGGCCTCCTCTCCATCGGTGTCGCCCGGTCCCATCTGCTCTCCGTGTGCGTGTAGGGCTCCACCTCCATCGGCCTCGTCTCCATCGGTGTCGCCCGGTCCCATCTGCTCTCCGTGTGCGTGTAGGGCTCCACCTCCATCGGCCTCGTCTCCATCGGTGTCGCCCGATCCCATCTGCTCTCCGTGTGCGTGGAGGGCTCCACCTCCATCGGCCTCGTCTCCATCGGTTTCGCCCGGTCCCATCTGCTCTCCGTGTGCGTGTAGGGCTCCACCTCCATCGGCCTCGTCTCCATCGGTTTCGCCCGGTCCCATCTGCTCTCCGTGTGCGTGTAGGGCTCCACCTCCATCGGCCTCGTCTCCATCGGTGTCGCCCGGTCCCATCTGCTCTCCGTGTGCGTGGAGGGCTCCACCTCCATCGACCTCGTCTCCATCAGTGTCGCCCGGTCCCATCTGCTCTCCGTGTGCGTGTAGGGCTCCACCTCCATCGGCCTCGTCTCCATCGGTGTCGCCCGGTCCCATCTGCTCTCCGTCTGCGTGTAGGGCTCCACCTCCATCGGCCTCGTCTCCATCGGTGTCGCCCGGTCCCATCTGCTCTCCGTCTGCGCGTAGGGCTCCACCTCCATCGGCCTCGTCTCCATCGGTGTCGCCCGGTCCCATCTGCTCTCCGTCTGCGCGTAGGGCTCCACCTCCATCGGCCTCGTCTCCATCGGTGTCGCCCGGTCCCATCTGCTCTCCGTCTGCGTGCAGGGCTCCACCTCCATCGGCCTCGTCTCCATCGGTGTCGCCCGATCCCATCTGCTCTCCGTGTGCGTGGAGGGCTCCACCTCCATCGGCCTCGTCTCCATCGGTGTCGCCCGGTCCCATCTGCTCTCCGTCTGCGTGTAGGGCTCCACCTCCATCGGCCTCGTCTCCATCGGTGTCGCCCGGTCCCATCTGCTCTCCGTCTGCATGTAGGGCTTCACCTCCATCGGCCTCGTCTCCATCGGTGTCGCCCGGTCCCATCTGCTCTCCGTCTGCATGTAGGGCTCCACCTCCATCGGCCTCGTCTCCATCGGTCATCCCCTTGGAGTCGTGCGATTACTACAGCCACCGCCGTTTGTGACAGTCCTGCTGCTTTCAAAATCTGTTCCTTTTTTATTAAAAGTGCTGTTTATAACATTAAGATTTTTGGCACATAATGTACAGTATACAACTATGCATTTTAAAATATTTGTGCATTAATCAATTAGCTGTGGATGTAGTGTAATGATCCAGGTATTTTAAAGTTTTTAATAATTTGTAATTTAGTAATTAAAAATAACTTGTTAAGTTAAGGCAAACTGTTCAAGTGTTTGTTACAAAATAGAATAGTATTATTTTGGAAATTTCTAATTCCACATTAATATACCGAACCGTGCCAAAACCTTGACTCCAAACTGCAATACATACCGAACCGTGAGAAACCTGAACCTCTCCACCCCTAATATTTTCCCGGGTTTAAACCGATTACACCCACTGGTTGTTCTGGGTTTACACACGTTATTCCACCTTTTCGTGTTATATCAGGTTTGTCTTCTTCAGCTAATGTTAATACATAGTTTGTTCTCGTCTCCCACTTTTCCCATGGCACTTTGCAGGATTTAAAGAATTGCCAAGGTTCCCATTTATCAATGAAAACACCCTGAGTTCTCTCCATAGTCAGGGATTCAAGCATCAAGTACCCCCACAACCCCATCAATAAGGCTCAGATACCTCCATCAACAATAAACCAAATAATCAATTTTGTGGGTTAAAAATACTGGGCAAGATGAAATTTTAATATTTTAAATCCAACATTTTTTTTACCATACCTGATTTGGTTTCAAAACCGAGAAACTCAGGCAGTCATGACTGAAGAAACAAGATCGGGCTGGGATCTTAAGCATTTTCTGGCTGACCAATGACGTAGATTATTTTTTATTTTATTTTTGATGGTTTTCTAAATCATCCTGGTGTTCGGTTAATGAAGAAACCTGGGAGGCACACATTTGCTGTATCAACAGATGACTTCACATGAGCAGGCCATGTTAAGTCTGCCTGTCGCTTGCTCAAGTTGTTGTGAATGGACTTGAATAGTTTGCGTGAGTGTACCCAGCTTGTCAGCAATCACGTTTGTGATTTTTCTCAGTCATTTCTTGTAGTGCTCTGGTTAACGCTGGGTCAAGCTGTCCGCAACCGTCGGCCATGTCTCCAGGTAGATGTAGCAGTACCCCCATACTGTATATACGGTATTCAATTTGATACTCCAGTGTTAGAAATTAATAGAAATAGAATTGTTCAATTTACATTTGCTTCTGTTAAATAGATAAACTGAATAATCTCTGGGGAAATTCTGGGATGAGATTCCTACTACTGAATCAAAAGCTGGGAAAACTGTTGAACACATCAGCTCTCAGAGCCTGTATTATTGCCAGCATTCTTGTCTGTCTGAGATGTTGTGGGCCATAAAACATGCTTGGAAGGCTGTGTCTATAAACTGGATTTTGCAAACACACACAAACACCCACATACCATTCGCTAATCACATGTGCAACAGGCTAATCTAGCAGGTTTGCTCTTTTTCCATCTGCAACTGAGCATAATGTCCTGGCACTGATCCATCCCTTCATTTACTCTTTAATTATTATGCGAGTGCTGTCTTTTCCTTTGTTATGCCCGTGGCTCTGTGTTTAAAATGCATCTTGTTCCACTGCTTTTCTTGGCAGAGTCTTGTTGTTTTGTTGTCTCTTGGGTTGAGGGATTTTTTAACTTTAATTACCCAGATGAAGTCTTGCTCTGTGTAGTATTTCAGTCTCTGTAGTTAAGGTACATAACTTCTACAACTGCTTCAAGAGTAAGTCTAACAAAATTAGGAATAACTTTAAACTTCTGCTTAAAGGATTAGTTCACTTCGGAGTTAAAATTTCCTGATAATTTACTCACCCCCACGTCATCCAAGACGTTCTTTTTTCAGTCGAAAAGAAATTAAGGTTTTTGAGGAAAACATTCCAGGATTTTTCTCCATATAGTGGACTTCAATGGGGTACAACGATTTGAAGGTCAAAATTGCAGTTTCAGTGCAGCTTCAAATGGCTCTACACGATCCCAGCCGAGGAAAAAGGGGTCTTATCAGGTGAAACGATCGGTCATTTTCAAAAAGAAATAAACATTTATATACTTTTTAACCACAAATGCTCGTCTTGCACTAGCTCTGCGATGTGCCACGCATTACGTAATCACGTTTAAAGGTCACGTGTGTTCTGGTTAAGAAAAGGAAGAGTAGGGTGAAAAACTAATTGTCTCCTCCAACTTTAAAATCGTCTGACATTTGGTTTACCTTTTATTTTTTTTGTAAATGGCGTTTAACTTAACGAAAATTTTCGTATGCGTTTTGTCGTATTCGTCATTCGGTGGCTCTGAATTGTCAAAACACCATTCAAAATGCTACGGATGTGAAAAACGCTGAAAATCGGGGGGGGGGGGGGGGGGGAGTACAGTGCCCAGTCCAAGATGAAGATGAAGATGAAGCATTTGTCATGTTTCATACCCTAATTATAGTTTGGAAAATTGAACAGTTTTCTACTTACCACATGCCTACCTCCCATTTTGAATTGGCTATAGAGTCTAAGAGTTGGGGTTTGAGATCAGGTTTGCATTTAAAGTTTATGCCAAAGTTTATGTGAATGTTTCAGATATGACTGGAGCAGTATGATATATGAACAAAACATCCTTATTTTTAAATCTTGTACTCGCACAAAAACAGAAAACATGAATACAACTGTTGTATGGAATATTGCTTACTGAATACTGTGCAGTGATATTGTATACTGATTGGCTTCTTTAACTTTAAGAACAGATAAACATTTTATATAACAGTATGGAAACTTTTGCTAAATTGGTTTATCACGTCACATAAAACATGCCAAGTCAATGTTACTATTTGTTAATTTAACAATTATTGTCCTCCATGGGGTTGTATGTATTTCAATAATTTCATGAGTTTGATATATAATTCTATTTGTGTATGGGCACTGGAGAAAATCAAATGTTTCTATTTACTGCTGTCACTCATTAGCACAGGACAAAATTAGAGCATGTCAAAATGTAAATGCAGACTAATGTAAACATATTGTACTTGTAAACAATCTTAAATGTCTCACTGTACATTGCTATTCTATATGGTGGAGCCCTTGCTTGCACATTACATTTGCAATATACTATAACACAATCTCAGCACAAATTTGCATATTTCTATGAAAGGTGTAATAAATGTAATAAAGCATTCTCCTGAAAATATCAGCAGAAGGAAAAAAATAAACATAAAGTCATGTCTAGCGTGCGGTCTCTAAGGAAGATCACTGCATATTGTCAAGACATCTGGTCTGCAGCTTGGCCGAGAAAATGGTTTATGTTTAAAACGCAGTGTATGTATATCTTCTCTGGAGTGTGTTCATGGAGTAATGACAGAGTCTTGCAGGGTGCAGCACTACTATGATGTAGTACTATGATGATGTAGATGAATATGCTTTAAAAAGAGGTAACTGGAAAGAGGAATTCAATTTCTGCCTCTTGTAAAAAATGCCAGTTCCGTCCTGTTGGTTTGAACGTATAAATGTCTGTCGCACGTCTCCACTTCAAACGTTCACCACAATTTCACTTTTCTCAGATGACTGCAAAACGGCTCAGTTGTTCGATGTTAAATTCACACCCCTCCCTCCTCCCCCATTCAGGAACAGTCTCACGCATATGGAAATGATTGGGTTTGAACCTCCTGTAAATTGTGTTGAGAAAAATGAATCAAGCAATTGGTCTGCCCAGAGAATTCCACGATAAAGTGTATGATTTCTCTTTGAATATGTTTGAAAATCTTTAAGAGATTGGGATCTGAGGAACATTTTCGCTTTGTACTTTATACTTGGCCTAGCATCACTGTGCATAAGTCGTAAATGATCATTAGATTGGGAGTTTCTCAAGCTCAAGGAGAAACCCAGACTGCCTTTATGATCCCTTCGGTATATCCTCAGTAGAGTTCAGCCTATTTTAAGGTCTAAAAATGATTTTTATTGCATGTCTGAGTCAGGGATTTGGCTAATGTGTGTATGTGTTTGGAAACAATGTTCCTCCAAGGGCTTCACATTCCTGAGACGTGACATGAGAGGAAGAAGGATGTTTTTCTCGGGCCTACGAAGCCTTGTGGACTATATTTCATTCTAGTGACAAGACTGAATTCAATTTTGCACTCTGGAAGCAATATATCATCCCTTCTTCTAACCAATTAAATGTGCCAATCAAACACAACCTGCATTAATGTTCTTCCTGCCTGTAGTTCATGTTATAGCCTGGCAAGACCAGCATGAAATATGAGTGAAAGCTATAAAAACACTGTTTACATTCAGCTTTGACTGCTGACCTACTGTACCAGAATACAAGAATCAGAAAATCAGAGGCTGAGGATTCTGGTAAAGATGCCAATGGTCATCATCACTAATGTAAATGGCAAACTGTCTAATGATTAAAATATGATTTTTATGATATTTTACATTTAGGGCGAGGAGACATTTTCATTCGAGAGCGTTTCACTGGAACAAAAACTACACACATCACCTTTAAAGACAAACACAAACATTGTTTTTTATGATATCATTAGATTCATTGCATATAAAAGAAAATAGACAAATATTTAGGGAAATGTGACGTTTATTTAAGTACTCATTGGAATACATGTGAATGTGTTAAACAGAAAATTATAGTACATGTTATTTTACAATTAAAAAACACCATTTTTAAAACCTTTTCAGTAAACGGTTCCTTAAATGGTGAACATTTTCACGTTAGCTTCACTGAGTAAAGGTTATATATACCAGGTGCTCAGCACCATGTTTGCAATTATAAAACTCATAAAAAATAAAAAACTGAAAGGGAAAAGCTGATCCTAAACAAGGAGATTTGTAATGTGCATTGACTCTTAGGATTATATTTTAGCCATAAATGGTCAAATATTGAACTTCTAAACAAAAGCTCAAAACCAGATTTTGTGTCTAGATGGATGTTTCTCTGAGTTTTCAGCTGAAAGACTTTTAGAGTGATGTGTAAGGGTGACTTTTTGTGAACTGAAAGTCAATGCTGCTTCACTGTGCCAAAATTAATTTCCATATAAACACCTGGCCAAATAAATTCACAAGACATCTGTATCCGTGATCTTGTCAGGCTCTGCCCGATTCACAATGACATCTGCATCTAGGCATGTGGAAGACCAAATTGGCTTTCACAAAAACATTATTTTCGATTATGATTGGATGATTACTGGCTTAAACCTCATGCTGTGGTTATATACGTTGTAATATATATCAGTATTTTTCAGATTTTGATAAAGGATCATGATACTTTGATGAATATAAATCAAAACATTGTATGATTTTTGTTATTTTGGGGTTTGATGATATTGTAAGTTTAGGCTATGTTCACACTCAATTCTGATTCATTGCTCAGATCTGCATTTTTTTGTTTGGCTGTTCACACGTGGCCAATATCAGATTTGAGTGTGAACTGGTTACGGTCCTGAACTGAGCCGCATGTGCAAAAGAACGATAACAAAGACGGCGCACAGCACACTATCATGCTCAAGTAAACGCAGAGGTACAGAAGTCGACATTTATGTGTTCGTTTTTAAGGTGATGTGTTCAGACAAATCAGAATCGAAAAGATCAGATCCCATGACGTTTGTGCTGTTTACACTGTTATATATGTATAAAAAAAAAAAATCAGATTTGAGTGGCATATGAGCAACAAAAAAGAAAAGAAAAAGTGGATTTGGGCCACTTTTGCCTGCAGTGAACGTACAGTCATGGCCAAAATTGTTGGCACCCCTGGTAAATATGATCAAAACTGGCTGTAAAAAATAAATTTGCATTGTTTATCCTTTTGATCTTTCATTCAAAAAATTGGCAAAATTGTAACCTTTCATTGAAGTAAAAGAATTGAAAGTGGGGGGGAAATCTCATTATGAAATATTTTTTTTCTCCAAAACACGTTGGCCACAATTATAGGCACCCCTAGAATATTTTACGAGTAAAATATCTCTGAAGGATATTCCCATTAATGTTTACCTTTTATAGCACACCAGGGTGACTAGGAACATGAAATTGTCTAGCCATGACTTCTTGTTTCACAGGAGTTTAAATATAAGGAAACACAAATGCCAAATTCCCTTAATCATCCATCACAACGAGTAAAACCAAAGAATATAGTTCTGATGTGCATCAAAAGATTGTTGACCATCACAAAATAGAAAGTGGCTGTAAGAAAATAGCTAAAGAATTGAAAATCCCCATTTTGACCATCAGGGCAATAATTAAGAAGTTCAAATCAACTAAAGATGTTATGAATCTGCCAGGAAGAGGACGTGTGTCTATATTGCCTTAATGCACGGTGAAGAGGAGTTTGAGTGGCCAAAGACTCTTCAAGGATCACAGATGGAGAATTGCAGAGATTAGTTGAGTCTTGGGGGTCAGAAAGCCACAAAAAAAACAACAAAAAAAACAACCCCTACATCAAGACATGTTGTTTGGGAGGGTTTCAAGAACAATCATCTTCGCTCATCCAAAAACAAACTCCAGCATATTCAGTTGTCAGACACGGCTGGATCTTCAAACGGGACAGGCTTCTGTGGTCAGATGAAACTAAAAAAAGAGCTTTTTGCCAGCAAACACGCTAGATGGGTTTGGTGCACACAAGGATAAAAAGTACCCCATGTGTACAATTTAATATATCGTTGGATCTTTAATGTTGTGGGCATATTTTTCTCCTGGAGGTCCTGGACTTCTTATTCAGATACATGGCATCGTGGATTCTATCAAATATCAACAGATAAAAAATCAAAACCTGACGCCTTCTGCTAGAAATCTTATAATGGGTCGTGGTTGGATCTTCCATCAGGACAGCAGTCCAAAACAAACATCAAAATCAACACAAAAATGTGTTAGGGAGCACAAAATGAAGCTTCTGCCATGACCATCCCAGTCCCCTGACCTGATGAGTGCAGAACCGAAGAGAAGCACCAACATGGATCTGGGAATCTGCAGGATCTGGAGAGAGTCTGTGTGGAGGAATGGACTCTGATCTCAGGTCAGGTGTTCTCCAAACTCATCAGGCATTATAGGAGAAAAACTCAGAGCTGTTATCTTGGCAAAAGGAGATTGCAAAAAGTATTTAATAAAAGGGTGCCAATAATTGTGGCCAACGTGTTTTGGAGAAAAACATTTATTTCATAATGTGATTTCCCCCCCCCACTTTCAATTCTTTTACTTCAATGAAAGGTTTTTTTGCCAATTTTTTGAATGAAAGATTAAAAGGATAAACAATGCAGATTTATTTTTTACAGCCAGTTTACATCATATTTACCAAGGGTGCCAACAATTTTGGCCATGACTGTAGCCTTATTATATGAAGAAAGCTGTTTGTCTAAACCTTCTGAAGTTATTAAAGAACAATTGAACTAGTCTAATGCCTCTTTGCAAGATGGATTTATTTGTCTATCCATTTTGAAGGATAATCCACAGTTCATTGCAGATGAGAACGTTTTGAAGGCTACACTATCTTCATAGATCCCTATGAGCTTTCAGCATTAGTCTAGGTCTGCCAATACACCATCGTTTCAATCGACGTTCCTTCAGTGCAGGAACTACAGCTCTTAGTTCTTGAGCTTTCTGGGCAGGATTTTCCTGAGAGTAGGCTTCTGGTCCTGGGTGGTGTCCTGCTGTGGATGGGGCAACTCTGGTTCGGCTTCGTGAAGCTGTTTGAAGCTTTGAACGGGCTCTTTGGTCTCTCGTTTGGCCTGCCTCAAGAGACGTTTCATGTTCTTCACCTTGTCTCTCAGGTGATTGTTGGCCTTTTCCAGGATTTTCACTTTTTGAGAGAGGTTTTTGACTTTCTCTTCCTCCTCAAATAAGGCCTTCTGCACATTGGAGCACCATAGCTAAAGGAAAGTAAACAGAAAGTAAATTGAAGTAAACAGGAAGTACAAAATTCATCTGTTTGGCTCCTATACTTATAAACATGGTCTAAAATAAACTTCAGAAGCAGATTGAGTCTTTTGTGGCAATTTTAAAACAAGTAGAATATTCTTGAACTGGAAAAGTTTCCAGTGTCAAGCAACTCCGTTTTCACCAAAAGCAAAAGTGTTACACTAAACAAAATCACAACCACTCAGAACAGCTATTTAATCTTTCATTTACAGCTATGTGGTGCTTTTTTATTTTTTTTAAGTACAGCTTGGTGTAAAGTCCTTCATTGCTCAACTTACTGTACAGGAGTATGATATAGAGAGAAAACATGAGTAATTTGGCTGTATTTTAATCAGGCTCTGATTATCAGTTGGAAATCAAAGCAGCTGAAACTCATTTTGATAACATTTGTTGTTCTTGATACGCAACGGTAACTTCATAATCCATGGGGAAAGCAAAGAATTGATGCTTGCCTCTCACATGTGTTCCCGAGTCTTGCCTGAAAAAGATTTTACATCTGAAAATTAGTCACAGCTGGGCCTTTTCTGTAAGTGTGGATTTCCTGGGTAGATCTAACCATCATGCTTGCATCTGATCCTGCATGTAGGTCAGATGTGATTGTAGATTTGCGTGATTTAAACATGTAAAGACTGTCGTCAATGTAGTGTGGAATATATTTAGAAAACTAATTAGAGGTCATATGAAAGTACTGAGGTCATTCAAAAGTTCTTCTGGCATCAGTGTAGCAAAAAAAAAAGAAAAAAGAAAAAGTTGGCCGATATAAATAAATCTGGAAAAACCCTTTCTTTACATGATTGTTAACTGAAGAAGACAGGGTTGGTTTCCATTGGGTGCTACTTTCAGTTATGGGGATCAATCTTTTGTTGACTGCTCTCACAGACGTATGGTAAAGGCATGGGGAATGTTATTGCTTAATCATATTCATTATGATATCCAGCAGCCAGGACTGCTTAGATGATTACAGTTTAAAAGCAATGAAGACACCCAAAACTGGAAATTCTATCATCATTTAATCACAAAATGAAAAGAAAGGATTTAAAAAAAAATACTGGAATGAATGTTCTTCATTGTAATGAAAGAGAGACCAGTATATTCTTCTAAATGTCCCCTGTTGTATTCCACAATATATTCATTGACTGCACTGACACTATTGGATGAGAACAAAACTTGAATGAAGAAGACACTGTTTTCTGCAGAGCCGTTTTATTGCTGATTGGACTTTGTTTGATAATAGATGAATCTCGCAACATTAACAATGATACTGAACTGCATCAACACTGAACAGGGGCCTGTACCATGATGGTAGTTGAACAAACTCAGGGTTGCAGGATTAGTTTCGAGTTGACAAAACCAAACCAATCCAACCAGGCTTTGTTGGTACCATGATGCTGATCATCAACTTTCTCTGTCAACTCAGGCTTTGATCCTGAGTTTAGGAGTTTAGGTGTGACATCAGTAGCGAACAGCCAATCACATGCTGAGAAAGAGTGAAACTCATTCAAAACTCATTGAAATTAATTTCTCGCGAGAGCAGCAGCACAATTCACTTATTAAATAAAAGTATTCAAATATTCAGAATTGAAATAAATTTACACAGCAAGAAGAAAATAGCTGTCTATGAAAGAGGTCCAAGTTCGTTTAGCAACCTCTTACCTGGAGCATAACTTGCCCCGGACCAGGTTAGCCGTGGAGCGTGAGTTAGGCCTACTATGGTGATGAACACTGCTAAAAGCCAAACCACTTTCATGGTGCCTAAAACCCAGGGTTGGGGCAAACTAAACTGAAACACACCTGGCTAGCCACCTAAACCAGTACAGGCCCCTGACTTGAGCTGAATAACAACACTATTGTCTTCTGTAGAGCTGCTTTACAGCAGAATTTGAATTTGTCTTATATCTGATGAAGTTTGCATTGATCGTTTTTTTCCAGTTTATTACTGTGAAACTGCTTCGAAACAATCTGTATAGAAATAAAGGTGACTTGACTAGACTTGACAAAAGTCACAATACAACAACAGTATGAATGCATGTAATGTTTAAAGATTTAGATCAGTGCTATTTAAGTATTATTCAGATACTATTATAGTTTTAATAATATTGTAAATAATAATTTTAAAAAAAGTGTAATTCATGACCTGTGTTTTAGCAGTGTTGTGCTAGTTACTAAGAAATAGTAACTAGTTACAGTTACTAGTTACTTCATTCAAAAAGTAACTCAATTACTTTGTTGATTACTTACACCAAAAAGTAATGGGTTACTGTTAGTGTTAAAAGTAACTTTTTAGTTACTTTTTTAAAGAAAGTTCTTAAATGTTCCCATTAATGCCCTTTTATGCGTTATGGTCTATACAAACACAAAACTGACTTACACAGAAAGTAATTTTTAAACACTATTTTATTTAAGTCAGACCAGGACAAACTGAATATATCAAGGATTTCTGAAATAAATAACAAAACAAGCATTTTTAAAGCTAGTGACTTGTTTGCTTTCTCAACATTGATATGTTCATGCAGCTGACAGTATACTTTTTTACCACTGTGGTTTTTACTGCATGAATTAATATTTGAGCAATACAATTGTACCTTGATCATTCTTGTTAGTTCATAGTATAGGCCTACATTAACTAAGGAGATACAAATACATCTAACAATGAATGATATTACTACAACATGTATTAACCACATTTAATGCTAAAATTGTAATCTTATTGTAAAGTGTTACCATTTATATGATTCAAGCTTAAAGAAGATGCCCATATTTAAATATCTGCAAAGGCCAGAGCATTAAAATTACATAAATGTAGACCTATATTACATGTTGTAACGATCACCAGCTGGAGTGCCCTCGAGAGCCACCAGAGGGCGCTCCACAATAGACTTCCTCACAAACTACATTTCCCATACTCACTGCCTGGACTCATCATCACTGATCACATTCACCTGTACCTCATTGTCACTGATTGTAAGCTTCATTCAGCATTGCTCACTAGTGACACCTAGCTACTGTGCAAAGAAACAGCAGGCAAATTAATTCATTCTGAACCAATGACCCACCCCCCTCCCGCTCTGATTTATTTATTTATTTATTTATCTTCTCATTGTTAATGTCTCTGTAACCTTTCATTTGCAATAATAAAGAGATCTGTGCAGACATTTGTCCATTGCCTGGGTATGAAATAAAACGTGTATCTTTCTCTGTCTGCATTTACTTGTACAGAGAACTGTCACACACACAGTTAATTAATTATTTTAAAAAAATGTGGAAAGGAAGTGTAATAAAGTAAGGAAGGAAGGATTGCAATAGATTTTTATTGAGAAAATTAATTTTTTGAAGTGTGTTGGGGTTTAGACAATTCCTCTTCTTGGACAAAACCTCTCCAGCCTTGGAAAAATATCCTTTCACAAGGAACAGAGGATGCAGGGGAACATAAAATGTCAGTGCCAGCGGGTATAAATGAAGATACTGATGCTTCTGTTGAGCCCAGACAGGGGAGGATTTCCTCTTTCTTGCTGGCTCCATTACCATGGAAAAGGAAGATGTCATAAAAAGCAAACAAATCCAAAAGTGCTATCCAAATTAAAAAGCAGTCCAGTCCAGATCCAAAAATCTAAGCTACCCAAAATCCAAAGCAATCCAAATAATCTTATCTAATTAATATAACAAGACTATAATATAGCTACTATGATTAATAATAACAATTATTAATTATTATTAATAATTATTCTAACCTGATATAATGTAATATACAGCCCTAACACATATATGACACAATAACGACAATGAGAGTTCTCTAACTCTCTGACACGCTACAACTGCTTCTACTACTCCTGACAAGAAGACAACACCCACAAGGTGGCGCGAGTTTCGAACCCCCTTTATCCAGAAGCGACACTCAGACCGAACCGATGACGTATCTATCCACACAAACCGAGGCCTCGTTTGTCATCAGTCACGTGATTTTCAAGTTAACAACACAAGCCTCGAATCGCGGCTTCATCTGGCACGCCCATTTTTTCTCGACACAAGCTCCGATGCCTCGGTTCAAATGTCACATCACTACTGCTGACTCTTGACCCTGCCTGTACGACTATTCTATATTAAAGCTGCATTTGGATCTTCACCTCCAAGTCTCGGAGCAGTTCGTAACACATGTACAGTCTTTCACTTTATTTGCTTAAATTTTTGAACACTTGATTAGACTTGATGTCGTCTGCATGAACATATCAATGTAAGCAATCAATCACGTCACTAGTTTTAAAAATACAACTTCGCCGGCTAATGAATGTATAAAAGTGACCAGCTGGATATAAACTAATGCAAATAGATGGTAACAATTGCGACATAAAACATGTGGGTCAGGTCTGCGTGTGTTTTTGTCACATTGCTTTAATCGCTTGAGGTAAGTTAGCCGTTACTAATGTTATTCCTCTCAGACTCGAGGGCAAGCTTCTGTTCTTTCTCTGCTGATGCAGCATCTAGTCAAATTAATTACTTTATAATGATATGGCAATGTGCACTTAAGTGTTCTGTATTCATACCGTTTCGCTGTCTGTGTTTTAAATGCGCATCAAGTGCTCAGCGCTCTCCGTGCAGCTTGTAATCTCCGTGCTCGCGCTGCCTCAGGTGTACGTAAACAACTCAGTGTCCAGTGAGTTTGTTATGTGTCCTCTCGCTCTGTATAATGCTAGCAGTCTCTTCAGTGCTCTCGTACTGTGTGATGACAGCGCACACTTCTCAGCCGCTCCAGCAACTAATTAATTTAAAAAAGTAACGGACAACGCGCCATATGGTAACGGTAACGGAGTTAATTTATTTAAAAAGTAATGTGTACAGTAATAGTTACTGTCAAAAGTAACTGCGTTACTAGTAACGCGTTACTGCCCAACACTGTGTTTTAGAATCCATATGCAAACACAAGTTTAATGGACAAACACAAACGCAAGATAATCCAAAAACAAGGGTAACATCCACAAAGAGGAGGCATGGGGAACAACGACAGGAATACATATCCGGGATATGAGCATATTCAGGTTTTTGCCGGTGTTTACATGAACTACGTTTACATGCAGCCAATAACCCGTTCAAAACCGGGATATTAGCAATAACTCGGTCACGCACGGCCATGTAAACACCTGCAAAAACCCGAATATGCTTATATCCCGGATTTTAAAAACCGGGATATGATACCTGGGGCACCCCTTTTCTAACCCGAATTTTTGGTCATGTAAACGTGCATCGGCATATCCCCATAGTGATGTGTGTTCTGCGCATGTTCTATTCGCAACGAATCTTGGTCTTTTGAGTATAGGAACTTCTCGGCGCATACAGAAACCTGCGTGCAGTATACCGGAAGTAAACATGGCGAGACGCAGCACAGCATACTTTTGGAGCGAGGTCAGTACCAGCACCAAAGCGCAAACGAAAGCGATCGCTATCTGCCCCGAACTATTCATTATCCGCGTGCTGCTGCTGTTGTTGTTGTCTTTGGATAAAGGAAGAAGAATCGGAAATGACGCATATTGCGTCTTAAGGTTGTCCATACGTCTTGACGCTAACTGTGCGTCGCCGTTTACATCGGGATATTGCGATTCCATGTATACAGGAGAAACTCTCTCTGCTCACGCATGTAAACGGGTTATTCCTAATGTTTCAGAAACCCGAATAGTGACCTTAACCCGACCATTACCTGAAAATTGGCTGCATGTAAACGTAGTCACTGCCGTGCGCGACCGGGTTATTGCTAATATCCCGGTTTTGAACGGGTTATTGGCTGCATGTAAACGTATTCGAGGTTTAAATGGACTGGTTAACAAGGGGCTGGCGAGGGACAGGTGTTGGTGACTGATGTCATGGGAGCTAATGAGGGTAACCATGGTGACAAACAAGGTATAAGGCAAAACAGGAACCAAACACAGGAAGTGAACATATACTTCAACACAAAAGTCCTACAAAACACAAGACAGTACAGGGATCATGACAGAAAGCATGGGCGGGCTTTTAAATAGTATTAGCCATAACCTCTGATTAATAATCGGACTGGCGAGTTTGGGACCGTGGGATCCATGTAAAAGAACAGCCGTTGCGAGACCCTGAGCGACATAACAAGCACAGTAAGAGTAAAGAGTTAAATAGAATAATCAAATGTGTAGTTAAAATATTATACACATGACCAATAATCAATTAGCATTCTAACCTAAATTCAAGGTCGTGATAAAATGGAGGCAGATAAAAGTAAATTGTAAATTAAATTACTTTGCCACACTGAAAAGACCGAATCCACAGTTTAAACCTTCACCCATTTATCGGAAAATGTCGTTGGGCCGATTGTGCTGGCCTTGCATGTTTTTACCACAAGAAATTGAAAGTGTGACTCTCAGTATATCAGTATTTGGTCCTAATGCAAATAAGAAGAGTGAATCCTGTTTTGTAAGTACTAGCAAACAGCTTTAAAACTCGTTGGCTATAAAGATTATGCTCAAGGAACTTTAAACAATATGCCATCAATAACATAGAAATCTCCCACAACCCAATGTGGAGTCGCAATTTAAGCCTGAGAACCTCTGGTTTAGAGTTTAAACATCCCACCAAAATTATACAAAACAAGTTCTCCCAAGTGAAAAACTAAAGAAGAAAGGATGTCCAGAGAGGAATGTTAATATCCCAGCAATCATTTCTCTTACTGCCCTTGAGACTTGGACCCAGAATCCCAATTGACAGCAAAATATAGGTTTGAAGATATCAGTTAGTTTGGATTCTCGAGAGAAGTTGCCTACTAATTGTTGCTGGATTCCTCTGGCAGACTAGCTGATGTTTAGGCACATCTTCCACTGAAATGTTGAATTATAAGTTCAGCATGCAATAGCCACAAAAACGTCTGCTAGAGTCCCTGATCCTTTCACAAGCCAAGAGAACCACACAGAGACATGCAAAAGACCCGAACAAGCAATATACAAGCATGAAAAAAAGTGTTATTTTCAGATATTAAGCTGGTAGTCTAATACGCTAAAGACTGGTAGCTGAAATGTACAGGTTGCAAAGTTACTTTGAAATGTACTATCAAAATAAAGTGGAATTTTCTAAGTCTATAACAGGTTTTTAATGGGTTGGTTGTGATCCAAAAAATAAGTTGCACGTTTTTTGTTATTGAAGTAATAGTCTGTGTTTCCAATGGACCTCTACAATACTTTGACATAAATGAATCTTTTACTTGTTAGATTCTATTATTATTTTAATATATTAAAAGTAGCTCACTCGGTTGTCCTCCTGGGCCTCCCAGTCTGGGGTGTACGTGTGAACCTGTGTGCCAGCGGTGCAGTTGGAAAACTGGAACAAGCTGGCAAACATGCGGTGGTTCTCCGGGGTGTCAGGGAAGATGGGGTCCTGGAAGTTGACTCCGTGAGGAATGATACTGTAGTTTTCGTCCATCCTGAGAAGAAACGCAACACACACAACATTATATGACACATAATCATCATGCGTGGAATATGATTAAAATATGATTTGAACCGCTCACCCTAAATATGGGGGGTTGATTATGATTTCACTTTCTAACTTTAGTTAGTGTGTAATGTTGCTGTTTGAGCATAAACAACATCTGCAAAGTTACGACGCTCAAAGTTCAAAGCAAAGGGAAATATTTGCTTTTAAAGAAATCGTTTTTTAAGGACTACAACAAACGGCTGGTAGGAACTACACGAGCTTCCTCCCGGGTTAGTGACATCACTAACCCTAAAATTTACATAAACCCCGCCCCCGGGAACACGCCCACATTGAGAAGAGGAAGAGCTATTGTAGTCACTCTGTGTGCATCTCACAACAGTTCCTATACAAGCGATTTAAAGATTATCCTGACAGAATATGCTAATTGAAGATAGTTAACTCCACATCAGCAACATAAATTCATCAACTAACCATTCAGAGATGTCTTGTTGCATTCTACATGTTGTCACTTCTTCTTAGTCTCTCCATCTTTGTCTGACTCCGGTTTAAACATAAAAGGCAGAACAGTTGCTGACATTTTAGCGTGTGTCTGCGTGAGGTAATCGGAGCTGCTAACACACACACTCTTGAAGCTCCGCCCACTGTGTCGGGAGCTGCAGCTCATTTGCATTTAAAGGGCCAGACACAAAACGGTGCGTTTTTGCTAACCCTCAAAAAGTGACAACTTTAACATGCTATATACAAATATATGTGGGGTATTTTGAGCTAAAACTTCACATACACACTCTGGGGACATCAGAGATTTATTTTACATCTTGTGAAAAGGGCATTATACCACCCCTTTAAATTCTTCCCACACAATCTGCACTATGTAAATGAATGATACATTTTCAGGTTTAATGAGAAGAGGTGTGCTAGTACTTTTCTAAGCAATTTGACTTACGATTTTACAAAGTGAATGATAAATTATATATATATATATATAAATGTTCTTATTGGTTACTTGTCTTTTGTGTCACGTAGTGATTGGTTCATTGTTTCATTGTGTTTCAGGTGTTTCTTGTTTGGTCATTAGTCTTGTGTGTATAGCCCTAATGTTTATTTGGTCTCTTGTCTAGTATTTTTATGTGTAACCTCAACGCTATCTCACGACCAATTCGTATGAGTGATTAAAAGGTGACTAATTCGTACTAATTCATACGACCTCACTCGTACGATTTGTCTAAACCCACGTGATGGGTAGGTTTAGGGGCGGGGTCGGGGGTAGGTCATTCGTACGAATTCATACGAATTTGGTAACTCGTAAAATATGTACGAATTAGCAAAAATCGTACTAATTTGTACGAGTGAGGTCGTATGAATTAGTACGCATTAGCCACCTCGTAAAATTTGTACGAATTGCCGTGAGATCGGGCTGGTAACCTGCTGTTGATGAGTCTTTGTTTCATGGTCATGTCAAGTCTCGGTTTATCTTGTATTTGTCCATTGTTTTGGATTTCAATAAACTCCACATGGGTTCATCAAGCTTGCCTACAGTGGACGTTTGTCACACCATGGAGCTTTAGAGTGGTCTTTTGACTAATTTGAGCCAGTAACCAACCACTTTAGTGAATACCTACATGCTCAAAACCACTTAAGCCCCTTTCACACAGCGCTTTGAACCCGGCAAATTGCCGGCAAATTGCCAGAGTGCCTTCTGTGTGAACGCAAACACGACCCGGGACTGATGCCGGGATCGATGCCGGGTTGGGGACCTAGTAACATTGCCGTGTTCAGACCCGGAACGCGCGCTGTGTGAACAAAAGCCGTAACCAATGCCGTGTCGTAATGATGACGCTGAAGTGAAGTGAAAGCAGGCTAGGGAAACGGTACGTAATGCGCTAGTTTATGATCGAGTCAGAGAAAAAAATGCACAAGCGTGGTTTCTCCAGAGAGAAATCGCAGCTCATAAGCAAACTATATGTTGCTGAGACATTACATGTCACATCGATGTCACGTGTCTTTCCGGAACATACACGGGTTGTGTGTGAACGCGCTCTCTGATTCCGGCAAATCACTGGCAGTGTGAATGAAGCAAAATCAAACAAACCCGGGTCAAATCCCGGGTCGCTTTATCCGTGTATTTTCCGGAATCTCTGTGTGAAAGGGGCTTTAGACTACCCATCAATGACATCGCAACACACGTTGTGGGAAAAAATGTTAAAGCTAGCTTTATAATGTATGTTTTCAGCCTGTTACAATATTCATACCATATAGGGTGTATCAAATATAAGGAACAAGATTAGCACTACAAAAGCATGCTATACTACAAAAGTCGCACAATCTTTGTGTATTTTTGTTTCTCCTGTGTGGGCCTCAGTGTTGTAATAGTTCACCACCACTTGGGACACTTAATGTCAATGACCCATATATTTTTACAGAGGGAAGCAGCCAAGGAGAGGAGAGGGGAGGTGAGGCTGGGACAGCTCTATTTGTGTTCTTTACATGTGTGTGTGTGTGTGTTTGTATTAGAGCTGCCTTTGTATTTGTTTTTCCTAAAGCATTAGCAAAAGTATCACGTTTAAAGCAAAATAGTGAGTAGTGAAAACATATATATTAAAACTAGAGGTTAATTATACAGCGTAATTGTCCCAGTAATTGTACGCATAGCGTTCGGAGGACTATTCTTTCCTCTTTGTTCTCTTGCATCTCTATCTATGTAAGTGAAGAATTCATTACTTGTGATTGGCGTTCAAAGCTGCTTTTTGGCTGGTCTCTTGCTGTTTCGCCCCGCAGTCTTGCAAACTTTTACAAATACACACACACTTCCAAGCAGTGAGGAAATGAGGAAAGTCTGTTATCAAAGTTTCAAGGGTGGTTTTTAAAAATATGAATGAAAAAAAACATGGTTACATTGGCACAATGTGGGGAAAATGAGACTTTCACTTTACAGACTCTTCACAACGTTTGTTCTCCTTCATTCAGTGTGTAATTTGGCCACCATTGGCTTACAGGAATATTTCTTTTGTTTGTACTCCTTTAAGACATCCAAATGCAAGCTTAATGGTTTGCAGCACGCACGTGTAATCATCTTCAATGTATATTTTTCCATTTGAGTCATTTGGAAAAAGGAAAACACAGTTACTCAAAACAAATGACAAGTTAATGCATGTGCATATGTTAGAGAGTTTTGAATGGTCTCGTTAATTAAGGCTCCCCTCCCCTGGTGCTATTATGCATATACAATCATATGCAAGCTTTGTTCATAGGTTTGTTGGCTTCAAACGCCATTGCTGTCAATGAGGGAAATGGGTTTGAGGTGAATAGTTTTCCACCTGGCTTCTATAGGCCATTTTCCCTGACGGAAACATTGGCTTTGGACCTTGACAGCAGAGAGTCCCTCCATCTGGATCTAATTCAGACTCTTTAGAGGGGCATCAGAAGCTCAGGGGCTTTTACAAACGCTGTGCTCATTGCCAGACTTGGAACATCTAGACCCAACTCGAGTTCCAGAATTCTCTGATGGATTTCCACTGAGCTCCAGAATCTTTTTGTACTAAATGCCCAAGTCTTGAGTCTCAGCTTTAGCAAACAGTTATGTGGTTAGTTTTCTGTTGAGTACAAAAGGATATATTTTGAAGAATATACACTCCTCTTTTCCGTACATTGGGTCTCATTCAAACACGAGCCGAACAAATTTTTGTTTAAATCGTGTGTAAAGTGGTTCTGGCGTAAATTTTCGGATTCATTAAAATGTTCGTATTTTCCAAATGTTCGTTGGTACGAAAGAAATCTACACCTGCTCCCAGCCACGCGTAAATAGTGCGCTTAACACACGAACGTTTTGCTCATTAATAACTAAGGCTGCATTTTAATTCACCTTAATCGGGTACATATTTACACAGCATTTTGAAAAAATATTATATATAGTAATTACATACGGTCTTTCTTTTTACTTCTGGGACTGTTTGATTAACAGATGAAACTCCAGTAACTGCATCTGCAATATGCTGCCAAGCTTGCTTTTTTTAGGACCTGATACGCCACTATGTAGCCTACGCTTTAAAATAAAATGTGGTGTTTTGAATGAACTTCTGATAATAAAACTTTGATTTATGCATTTGAGAAATTTTTCTTTTTCATTCGCTTTTGAGAAGACATGTTGAAATCCTTCGTTTGGTGTCATAATATAGGGTAAATAAATAAATAGGGTAGGCAAACATAAGCCCCCTTCAGCCTACTCCTTTTGTTTTGTGGTTATTTCATCGTAAATTTACCAGAAAAATCAAATCAAATAATATGATGCCCATATTTAGTTGTCAGTCGGATTTAATGGGCGGGATTTATGGTAATTGAGAATGAGCGTGCACACGCATCCCATTTACGACTGATTGGAATTCATTAACACACACACACATTTCACTCTCACATCTGACGTTTACGAAGTATTTGTGAATCAGGAGATCAAGGTCTATTTACGCGCAAACCACTCTAATATTTACTCGTATATTTACGAATGTTTCATGAATGAGACCCAATGTCAGTTCATGGTGACCATGGGTGTTGAGCACCTTAAAGAGCAAAAAAAGCACATTTCTATCTGTAATGCATTTGAAAGGCTATTATTACTAGAATTCTTAGTATATTTTAAGATAATTTACAAAGGGGGTTTCCTGTGCTTTTTGGAGCTTGATATGGTCAAGTTTGCCAGATTGTTCCATTCAGGAGCGTGTGCATCCTTCAAATGTTCTTTTCTTTTCTTTCTTTTTTTTAAACATGAAGGTAAGTAAATGGCGACAGAATTTCCATTTCTGGAAGAACTATTCCTAAAATTAAGGCAATATTTTATTTGTACATTCCAAAGGACGGAGTGTCACTCTCCTGAGAATCCAAAAAGAGGCTCTATGAGTATATGAGAAATAAATATTTAGTAAACATGTTTTTTCTGGCAAGGCGTTGAATACTTGCTTAATAACAGTGCCTGTTTATTGTAAAGGTTTTGAGATA